CGACGCCGTTTGGCGACATCAACTCGCGGTTGTAACGCGGTCGTGACGTCGCGTTGAGGACGACGCCGTTACACGACATCAAGTCGACCTTGTAACGTGGTCATGATGTCGCGCGCCACATCGAGGACGATGTGAACGTAGTCGTCAATACCGACGTTGACGTCGACGCCCCACGCAGCGTCAAACATCGCTATGACGTCGTCACCTTCGCCAGCATCAACGTCGACGCGCAGTCGCGACGAAGTCTTGACGTCGTTTAACGTCGTCGACGATGACGTCGACGTCGTGAAGCTGTCTGGGGAAATTACTTGAGCGCATTGTCATGCGGCGACTTACCTGGATTTTGGACCATAAAAATGTTTTTTCATACCAAATGGCAGGCTTCAGGACACGCAGGTGCACCGCCGATGCGATTGGAGATCTTGTCTCAACCTTTGAAGAAGCAAAAGCTGCCAGACAAATGGTTCATTGCGTGTTTCTAGACATCAGTCAAGCATTCGACACGCTTCCTCATGCCATCATCATTCAGAGGCTAAAGTGCTTTGAGATACATGGCAGGTTGCTGTCTTTTATTCAAGCCTTTTTGACTGGTCGAAGCTATAGAGTGAAAGTGCCGGGCGCAACAAGCACTCCCCGTCTAACAACCCAAGGAGTCCCTCAAGGGAGCGTGCTCAGCCCCTTGCTTTTTAATGTTGCAATGACCTCTCTACCTCACTGTCTCCCAGCCATACATCACACTTATACCGATGGTATCGCAATATACGCGGATGACGTCGCAATCCTGGACCCTCGAAGAACGGTATGGCAATCCGAAACCGGCTTCAAGTTGCTTTGGATGCAACAGCACCAGCTATCTCACATCTAGGTCTGACTCTATCATCTGAAAAGACAGCCTCAATTCTTTATATACCGACAGGCCGTGCTTCAGAACAAGCAGTGAGACTGACAAATGGAGGAACTCTGGTAAAAAGGGTTACAAACCACACCTACTTGGGCATGATTATAGATGACCGTGTGACCTGGAGGCCACAAGTTCATAAAACTCTACAGCGATGCCGTGAGCCTCTACGTGTTCTCCGATACCTTGGAGGTGCTTCACGGGCAGCACCACAACGATCAATGCTACAGTTGTACAAAGGCCTTATAATGTTCAAGCTTTTATACTCCCTGCCACTTCTGAGAATAGCGCCGGCCCAAATGCGTGACATTGACATATTTCACCGTATAGCACTGCGTGTCTGCTTGGGGCTCCCACCATCTGCCGAAAATCTGGCGACTTTGACAGCAACAGAAAAATGTCCACTTTCTTTGAGACTCAAGGAAAGAGCTATGCGGCATATTGCCCGGATCAACAGCGTCCCCACAAAAGATAACATTCTTACCCGCCTTCTAGCACGACCAAACTCTCAGCTGGGACAACTGGCATCTCTATTTCAACA